GGGTTTGAACAGCCAGCTTTCTGGTTAGCCATCAAATGCCTTAGGCACTGTGCTACCAGAGCTCCAACCAGAGTTCATAGATACATTCAATTTTTCCATTTGAATGCAATGGATTTTAAGTTGATTGTGTTTTTTATTACATAGTTTTTTACATATTGTTCAGATGAAGTGGTCACACTGGTCTTTATCACATAGATAGTAAACAGATGCTTTCTGAATGACTACTTCAGTTTTTCTAGAATACTTAAAATTCTTATGTTTTACTATAGAACAATATGTATGTTTTTAAAGCTGTCTCCATTTGATGTGTTTCCTTTGGACTTATTCCATAGTAAAATTTTTACAGTTATATAGCTACATGAATCTTTTCATATATTTAAAGACAATGCAGGCAGTTAACAAGAAGATGGATCCACAAAAGACATTACAAACTATGCAGAATTTCCAGAAGGAAAATATGAAAATGGAAATGACTGAAGAAATGAGTAAGTTTAATTAAGTTGTAATGAAATTTACAATTTTCTCATCTTTGAAAAAGCCAAGTTTATTTACTAGCAACCTCATATTGTCCTCCATGAAGGTACACATCATGAAAAAAAATAAATGAGGTAGCACTTTATTGGTATATATTTAAATTTTAACTTCAGTGCATTTTTTTTAATTGGCAGTGTATGAGGCTAAAAATTCTATGGATGTTTAACTGCAGAAAAATGATACAATATGCAATATTTCTATGACATATTGGCCCTGATAGTTTTACTTTATTGATTAGTGGACTGAAACAGGTTTGTAAATAACATAACTCTTCTTGGTATAAATTAGGTTGCTTTAGAATTATGTTTGTTCTTTCACATGATAAAAAAGCTATTTGTTTTGGAGATAGAGAATAATGAGACTCACTTGTTTTTCCCCTTTTCCTTACCTATTTTAAAACTTAAAATATACTTTTAGTTTTCTTATTTTTAACAAACTAATTACATGTGGTGGTAGAAATATAGAGAATACTAAGAAACAAAGCACATAAAAATCATCTGTCCTCATACTGCCCACATGTAGTTACTGTTGATGTTGTACATTTCTTTCCTATATTTTCTTGTATTTTATGAAAGTGAGATCATATTATACATACAATTTGGAATCATACCTTGCTTTTGCCTAATTATATAATATAAATTACCTTAAATCCTCTCTGAAATGAAGTCTTTTTTTTTTTTCCAATAATGGCTGTTTAATAATTACATCACATCAAACATCAATAAACTTTAATTTAGCAAATTATTCTTATATTGGTCCATAAGATTGTTTCAGATTTTTAAATATATTTTATAATGTTTGATAAGTATATGTATGTGTATATATATATGTTGTTGTTGTGTGCCATCGAGTCAGACCTGACTCATAGCGACCCCTCCTTGGGTTGCCGAGGCAGTATCACTACGGAAGTAGATAGTGTGTAAATATATACACACACACACACACACACATATATATACTTTTTTTTTTTTTGTCTAAACTTCTGACATCTCCTTTGAGTATTAACTTTTTTAAAAGCTTTTGATTCATACTACCAATTTCTTCCCAGAAAGACCAGATTTTTGTTTTATCAACAGTGAATGAATGACTTTTCACAACATCCTGGTCAACATTGAATCATTACTTATATGTCAAAACTGGCATCATTGTTTAGCAACAATATTTTCTAATTGTTGTAAAATTATGTAGGATATACCAGTTAAGTCCTGCTTAAGCTAGCATTTTAGTGTGGTAGCATTCATACCATTTAGAGTATCAAATAGTATCTACTTAAATCATCAGCATTATTAAATTCACCACCCTTGTCTTATTCTACTTCAGAGTAATTTATTTCTTTCTACGGTTCAAAGATACTGTATGTCTGTCTTTAAAAATTCTAAAAAAAATTTATTTCCGTTTTTTGAGCCTGTTGGGTGTTAGTTTTTTCAATGCTTTTTGAGACATTAGTGAATTTTTAATGACTTAGAGAACTGTGACTAATACAATGATCACAATACCTAACGTGTTTATGTGGTTTCCAATGATAGCACAGGTGTAAGGCAGCTTTTATTGGAGGAATTAACTTTTCCATTAAGTTATAATGAAGAGAATAGATAAGCCTGTACTTAAAACTAAAACCTGTTTTGGTTGTTACCATTTGTTATTTTTGTGCCTTGCAAATTAGTCTGAAAGAATAGAAGTTATTTTATGTTACAAGGTTAAATTGGACACAATTTTTATTTTAGACATGTTAAATAATCCATTGTACCTTGTTGTTGTTTTGTTATTATGTGCTGTCGAGTCGGACCGACTCATAGCAACCCCTCCTTGGGTTTCTGAGGCAGTATCACTATGGAAGTAGATTGCCCCACCTTCCTTCCGAGGGGTGGCTGGTGGGTTTGAACCTTCTGGTTAGCAGTCAAGTGCCTTAGCCACTATGCTACCAGAGCTCCCATTGTACCTTAGATTTGATTAGAATATTTTTCTCACATCTTGAATATAAATATAAAAAGGCTGAAAATAAAGATATAGATTAAAAAAAAAATCAGTTATCACCCAAATATTGATAGGATATTTGGTTCTTACATATTATTCCTGGATGCTACCAGTGCAACAAGTATCAGTTTTTGGAAATGTATTTTAAAATTTAAAGCTTTTATTCATGATCAATAGAGAGATGCAAATCAAAACAACAGTGAAATACCATCTTGCCCCAGCACTAGTAGCAAAGTTCAGCAAGACAGAAAATAACAAATGCTGGCAAGGATGTGGAGACTTTGGGGCACTCATACATTGCTGGTGGGACTGTTAAATGATATAACCACTGTGGAAAGCATTATTGTGATTCCTTAAAAAGTTAGAATTAGAATACTAGTTGACCCAGCAATTCTATTACTAGGTATATATCCTAAAGAAGTGAGAGCCAGGACAAGAACAGATATATGCACACCCATGTTCCTCTCAGGACTATTTACAATAGCCAAAAGATAGAAACAACCTAAGTGCACATCAACGGAAGAATGGATAACCAAACTATGGTACATACACACAGTGGAATACTATGCAGCCCTAAAGAATAATGTAGAATCTGCAAAACACCACATAATGTGGATTTACTTGGAGGACATTATGCTGAGTAAAACAAGTCAATCACAGAAGGACAAATACTGTATCAGTCCATTATTGTAAAAAGTCAAGGAAAGGTTTATATATGGAAGGGAGTTTTCTTTATTGGCTACCAGGGGTGGTGGGGGGGACACTGTTAGATAGGTAGACAAAAGTATTGATTTGGATGAAGAGAAGGCAGTGTACCAAATGTGAGTGATCAACATGGTGGCATTAAGGAAGAGGAAGACATATAGAGATGCATGGGAGGTACAGACAACAAAGATGAGTCCTTTTGCACATATAGTACTGCATTGTCGGTGATAGCAAGCAGTGATATATCAGTGGATAGATGGGTAGATAGGCTGAATGATTAGGTATGCCTATGCAGGGGGGAGTGTGCCCATGACCATATATAGAGCTGGCAGACAATGTTTCTACAAGTGTATTTATATGTTCTGTAAGGATGTCCAGGTGTATAGTAGAATGACAAGGGACAAGTTTGTAGTCATTTCTTGGCCACAGCCAGCTGTGCAAAAGGAGCAAGTAGTTGGACCTGTTTGCTCGGGACCATGGTCGCAGGGGACATCAGGCTCAATTGGCATAACATACTACACAAAAACATTGTTCCACATCCTACTTTGGTGAGGTGTGACTGGGATCTTAAAAGCTTGCAAAGGGCATCTAGATGCAACAATGGTTCTCTTCTTGTCCAGAGCAAAGAAGAATGAAGAAGACCAAAGATTCATGGAAACAATTAGTCCAAGGGACTGTTGGTACACTATGTGATCCTCAGCCTATACAACTATGAGACCAGAAGAACTAGTAGTGCCTGTCTACCATTGTCAACCACTCAGAGGGGGATCTATATAGGAGATCCTAGATAGAGTGGGAGAACAATATGGAGAAAAACTCAAAGTTGTAAAAAAAAAAAAAAAAGGACTGTTTGCTGATCTCATAGAGCCTGGGGGAACTGCTGAGACTGGCCCCTAGCTGCTCTTCAGGTCTGGAATTGAACCCATTCTCTTGGCTTCCAGCCAAACAAGAGACAGGCATATGAGCTGAATGTTTACATTAGGCAGATACACTCTTTGGAGAGATCAGTCATGGGAGAATAGAAGGGTTGTGTATGCACAGGGGGACAGCTCAGGTTGCAGAAGTGCATGGGAGGGAAGGACACAGGGAAGACGTGCCTATGGAGAAGAAGTGGGAAGAGAGCTGTTGCACTGTGGGATTACGGTCAATGTCATGAGACAAAGTGTATGTGAACTGCTGTATGGAAGATGAATTTGCTCTGTAAACTTTCACCCAAATCACAATAAAATTAAAATAAAAAAAAATAAGCTTTTAGCTATGATACAATAAAGTTATTTGTTATTAAAGATATGATTTTAAAAAATCAGTAGATTTATTTTATTATAGGATAATTTATATTGAGATGATCATTATTCCCGATTTCATGCCTTAAAATGTGTTCACTGCAATTTGTAGTTTGTCGGTTCACTTAAATTTATCCTTCTGTACTGTATAAAATTTATATACGTAATTGAACTGTTTCCTAAAAATGTAAATCTAATCTGAAATTCATTTGTAAGTAATTGATTTGTTTTTTCTCTGAGTCAATGATACACTTGATGACATCTTTGATGGCTCTGATGATGAAGAAGAAAGTCAAGATATTGTAAACCAAGTTCTTGACGAAATTGGAATTGAAATCTCTGGAAAGGTATAACATTTTTATTCAGTTGGAAATAGTTTAACCATTTTTGTCACTTAATTGTTTTAAATTGTCTTTTACTATTAGGTACGTTTTAAGTTAGGTATATTTTTTACTGTTAGGTACATTTTAAGTTAGGTATATTTTTAAAATTTCTTGCAGCACATTTTTACTGTTATCGTTGTTAGTTGACATTAATCCAACTCATGGCATTCCCTAGTCCAAATGTTTGATAAATATATCTTCCCTTCTTTTTTTCTTGTCTCCCTTCTTTCTTTCATGTAGATGGCCAAAGCTCCATCAGCTGCCCGAAGTTTACCATCTGCCTCTACTTCAAAGGCAACAATTTCTGATGAAGAGATTGAAAGGCAACTCAAAGCTTTAGGAGTAGATTAGACAACAAAGTCATAGTATTTTTGCTTATTTAATATTATTTAGCATAAACCAGGCACAGTGCAGATTCCTTTTACAAAACAAGTTTATTTTGCAAAAATGAAGACCATGAGTGAACAGTTGTTTCCTAACCAACCCATGGCTATCTTGAATCTTTTGCCAAAGAATGACAATGATGCAAAAATGGGAACAGTTTGGATTTTAATTACAACTATTTAGGAGTGATGATGTGTAAAAAGTTGACTTCTTTTCTGCATGGCATAAAGAAATTATATTCTTTACTTAGTGTCGGTTTATGTTCTAAATCTTTTTACATTGGATATTAAAATCTTATTAATTACCAGTAGGTACCAATTTAAGAAGACTTGTATAAACATTAAAAGTATATTATTAATTCTGTATCTGTTGCTTGCCCTTTATAAGTGCTTATGTGTTATGACCGTAGATGGTTCAGCTGCCAAAATATTTTTTTTCTTTTGATATCCTTCTTTTGTAAATCATTTTTTTAAACATTTTATTTTGCTTTAGGTGAATGTTTACATAGAAGTTAGTTTTTCAATCAGTAATTCCAAATTATTTTTAAATAATCTAAAAAAGTGCTATTTAAACATCTGTCTTGAAAAAAAAAAAAAAAAGAACCTGTCATGTTATTTTTTTTCCTTTGGAAGAACGTTCTAATTGGTAAGTTTTTACCTCTTAAAATGTGCTTGGCACTTGCCTTAAACAGCACAAACATATTGTGCACATCTTTAAATTATTTTAACTGGCAGAAGAGAATTACATTTTAGCCTAAAATTGAGGTCTCTTATAAAAATTAAGTCTTTCTTTTGTAATATTTATAAAAATCAATTGGATACAATTAGCAAAAAAGAAAATGAAACAAAACAGTGAATTAATAGTATATTATAAGTAATAAAACATCATACTTTGATCTTTCTCCCAAGAAGTAAGGTATTCTCCATGTAAATTATAATTTAATCTCTGTTTAATTTTGAACTGTATTATATTGAACTTTACATAATATTGAATGTGTATATTGAACCCTGTACTCTGATGTCATCATCTTCAATTAAGTACTACCACTATAACAATATTTAACCTAAATTTTTTAAAATAAAAATTTACATTTTTTCTTGGTAAATAAACTATGACTTTGTCAAAAATTAATGCCTATATGTGTATTAATATATAGGAGTGTTTCTTAAGGTAAAGATGCATTGGTATGAAATATACAAAGAGATAGTGAGAAAATTAAAGAAAAATGGAACATTAGTCAGAAATAGAATTTAGAATTAGAATAGTTTTGAAAAATGACTTTGTGATGTGTGAATTCCAGCACATCCCACCATAAAAATGTAAGAGGAACTCAAATGTAACCTGGTTAATTTGGTATGATAAGCATTTTGGATTAATGCTGATAAAGAGTAAATAAATGTTAGGACAAGGCTACCTGTGGTATAAGGATTGGTGGAAGGAATGAAAAGCTAAGCTATATAATCTATAACCTATTTTGTAGTGTTCAAAGATTAGGTTTCCTTATTAGATAGTATTAAATCCACAATTTCCCTGAATATTGATCATTCAAAAATTTTACTGTATTATAGATTATTAACACAGAACATTTTTTGATTCTGGGATGTATATAATGATGCCAAGTAACATTACTTCCTTTCTTGTTTACTTCTGAGGGCTGTTTTTTTTTTTTTTACCCTACAAATTATTTTGTTAAAAAAAGGAAAAAAAAACTCTTAATAAATATTACTGTTATTTATTTTTTTTTTAAATGTGTTTTACTCTATGGCTCTGCTAAAATTTAAAATTTTGATTATTGTTCAAAGAATGACTTTTATTATTTTCATGGTAGGAAAATTAGATAACTGTGCTATTTACAATTTAGCAGAAATAGTCTTTTTAAGAATTAGCAGCAAGGCTGAGGTTTAGGAATGGAGCTAACTGAAGTGTCATTGAGTTCACATGAAATTGACCTGCAAATGCCTTTCCTCAACCTTTCAGGATGTACAATTTTTTGTCTTATATTCAAACATTTGCTGTTGAGTTGGCTCCTGATTCATGGTGACCCCGTGTACAAGAGGATCAGACCGTTATGATCAAGAGGGTTCTTGTGAGCTAATTTTTGGAAGTAGATCACCAAGCCTTTTTCCCTAGTCTATCTTAGTCTAGAAACTCCACTGAATCCTCTTCAGCATCATAGCAACACAAGCCTCCATTATCAGATGGGAGTGACTGTGCTTGAAGTGCATTGTATAGGAATTGAACTTCGGTTGCCTGCCTGGAAGATGAGAATTCTGCCAGTGAATCACCACTGCCCCTTTGGACATGTAAGTCTTAGTTATTTCTTTATTTCAGTCTAACACGAATATAACTGAAGACTACGACCCAAAACAGAGACTAAAGCAATTCTGACTTGGCTACCTTTATAAAATGCTGTAGTAAAAGTTTTCCAATTGCTGTATATTTGTACTGTTACTTTATGCTTTTCTAAAAATAACATGGTTCTTTTTGGACCCTTAAAGATTAGGAAATAAGGATTCTTACACATTGAGCATAATGACAGTATTGATTGTTTTTCTTTTTAACAAACCTGCTCTCCCTAACTTTCCATTTTAGAAAATAGTATCTTTAATAATTGTGTTCAAAATTATACATGTTTTTAAATAAAAGATTGCCGAGAGAAAGAGCTAAACCCATTGCTGTCAATTCCATCTAATAGCGATGCCATAGGCTAGAGCAGAATTGTCCCATAGGGTTTCCAAGGCTGTATTCTTTACAGAAGTAGACTGACAACATCTTTCTCCCATGGTGCAGCTGGGAGGTTCAAACTGCCAACTGGTTAGCAGCTGAGCACTTAACCACTGTGCCACCAGTGCTCCTAGAAAAAGGGCATTTTCTGTTACTGAAATTGATGCATCCTGGTGTCACACTTTGTTACCAGAATCAGAAGATTTCACAATATCAGAGAAGTACAATGTAGTTCAAAAATGTCTGCACTAAAGAAATCAGATGACATATTACTCTGGGCAAATCTTTGGCAAAAGACCTCTTTAAAGTGTTAACGAGCAAATATGTCATTTTGAAGACTAAGGTGCATCTAACCCAAGCCATGATATTTTCAGTAGCTTCCTATGCTAGTGAAAGCTGGACAATGAATAAGGAAGACTGAAGGAGAATTGACACATTGGAATTGTGAAGTTAGCGAAGAATACTGAAAATACCATGGACTGCCAGAAGAATGAACAGATTTGTCTTGGAGGAAGTACAGCTGTAATGTTCCTTAGGAGCAAGAATGGCCAGACTTTGTCTCTGGTACTTTGTTCATGTTATCAGGAGGGATCAGTGTCTGGAGAAGGATATCATGCTTAGTAAAGTAGAAGATTAGCCAAAAAATGGAGGACCCTCGAGGTGATGACACAATTGCTGCAACAGTGGGCTGAAGCATAGCAATGAATGTGAGACTGGAGCAGGGCCGGGCAGTATTTCGTTCTGTTGTACATAAAACAACAACAACAATAACAGCACCGGTTCTTAGAAAACAAATGGCCATCTGTCAGATGATCATGTCCCATAGTCTCTATGCTGTGATCTGGGAGTACCTGGTTATGACCGGTCATGGAAGGAGGTGTGACATTGTGACCCTCTAAGCTTGGATCCAGGAGCTCTGGTAGTGTAGTGCCTAAGGCACTTGACTGCTAACCAAAAGGCTGGTGGTTCAAACCCACTAGCCACTCCTCAGAAGGAAGATGGGCTCATCTACTTCTGTAGTGATACAGCCTTGGAAACTCCAGGAGGGGTCACTATGAGTCAGGTCTGGACTCAATGGCACATAACAACAACAAGCTTGAATCCAGCCAACTACAGGATTTTTATTTTATCTGCTCAGTGATTATTATTTGCATCCTAATTAATGCCTTTAGAAAAAAATCAGACTCTTCCTTTGGCCACGTGCCTACATGCCCAGGAATTACCTCTAACCTGATTTCAGAGGCCTAATTTAAACATACACTCCTATTGTCAGCATTCAGCTCCTATGGTAAAGCATTCAGCTATTTACTCCTATGGTAAAGCATTCAGCTACTAATCAAAAGGTCAGTAGTTTGAACCCACCAGCCACTCTGTGGTAGAAAGATGAAGCAGGCTGATTCTGGAACCCAATGGGGCATTTCTACTCTACCCTGTTGTTATCGTTAGGTGCCATCGAGTCATTTCTGACTCATAGCAACCCCATGCACAGCAGAACGAAACACTGCCTGATCCTGCACCACCTCCATGATCCCTGCTATACTTGAGCCCATCATTGCAGCCACTGAGTCAATCCATCTCGTTGAAGGCCTCCCCCCTCTTTCGTCAACCCTCCACCCTACCAAGCATGACCATTCCAGGGAATGGTCCCTTCTGACAACATGGCCAAAACAGGTGAGACAAAGTCTGGCCATTCTCGCTTCCAAGGAGCATTTCGGGTGAACTTCCTCCAGGACAGATCTGTTAGTTCTTTTAGTAGTCCATGGTACTTTCAGCATTCTTTGCCAGCACCAAAACTCAAAAGCATCAACTCTTCAGACTTCCTTATTCATTGTCCAGCTCTCACATGCATATGAGGAGATTGGAAATATTACGGCTTGTATCAGGCACACCTTAGTCCTCAAGGAGACATCCTTGCTCCTCAGCACTTGAAACAGTTCCTTTGTGGTTGACCTTCCCAATGCTACACATCGTCTAATGTCCTGACTCTGCCCTATAGGTGTGTTATTAGTCAGAATTTACTCAATGGCAGTGAGTTTTATATTAAAATGGGAGTCCCTAGCTGGTCCAAATGCTTAAGATGCTGAACCACTAATTAGAGATTGGAAGTTCGAGTTCAACCAACAGCACCTCAAGAAAGATTTGGTGATTTACTTCCAAAAAGTCAGCCATAGGAAACCTTATGGAGCATGGTTCTACTCTACGATACATGGGGTTGCCATGAGTCAGAGTCAAGTGGACATCAAATGGTTTTGTTTGTGTTCAAAGGAGATGTTTTCAGGTCTGAAAAGAGACCTAAGTTAACATATTCCTTTGGTGTCGTTACTCTGCATGAATAGCTTTTTACAGCTACAGAAAAAGAACAAATTTCTAATTCACTGTAGAAGCTAGTCTCATAAGATCATTCTTCTAACCACAGTTCCTTTAAGAGTCCATTGGGTTGAATTTGCCTTAGAGGAGGCCTAGGGATCGTGAAGTCTGATTTCAGACACTCTACGTCTGACTCGACGGCAAATAACAACAACACTGTTTCAACACCCATATCTTCTTGCCACAAGAACCTGAAAACACATGTCTTCCATCCACAGTAATACTGACAGTATTTCTTTAACTAGACAAATCCTTTAAACACATAAGAGATGGAAGGATAGGTCATGTGAATGAATTTGTCAACCACTTCCACCAGTTAAAGTTGAATGAATCAA